TTTGAACATTAACTTTTCTTGTCATACACTGAATATACTTATGTAGTGGAATAAAGATCATGAAATATGTCACAAGGACAAAATCCAGCAACTGTTGAGAATGGGATTGCAAGAATGAAACTTCGGGAAATAAACAGAAATGGAGCAAAGTCAACATCAGTTACACAAAAAGAGGCCCTTCAGTATATGCCAAGAGGATGAACCATAATTTGCTATGGGCCAGGCTCCTAGGCAAGTTTGCTGCCCTGGCAATGGAAGTGACAGCTTCTTGCAATGAGATGTGACAAATGATGAGATAAATACTAAAGCTGTGCCAACTAACTCTGTGCTCCTAAGAGTCCTAGGAGCCTTTAGCCCAGCCAATAAGGCAAGTTCTCCACTCTTTGTGCACCCAGAGGTCTCATGTGAAATGCAGAGCTTTGAATGTGAAAGCAGCTCAGTACTAGATTTTAGGTATTGTTTTGAAAATCTCAAGCATATGTATTTTTCTTTTTCTTTTCATCGTGACCTAAATGCAAGTCACATGTCCCATCACCCTCCTCATCCCTCCAAGACGGCTGACAGATCTAGTTGAGCCTGGATATTCTGTGAAAAATCAGCTTTCCTGGTTTATCTTAGTCACCAAAAGTTGAACATAGGACTTACAGTCATCGTAAGTTTTAAGCATAGAGTTTCTTCAGTAGTGGAGGAACTAACTTCATACTTCTTAGGCTGTATTGTCAATTTCAGAAAGTGTTGCTGATAAGAAATATTTATATTTATAAATAAATATATATTTATATATATATAAATATTTAAATATTTAAATATTTATAACAGGTAATTTAAAGATTATTTTTATAACAATAGTGACATTAACAGTAACACTTAGATTGAGGGCTAATGGAATCTTTTGCAGTTCTGTGAAAAAGACAACTTTCTGAGGAAAAAAAAGGTTGCAAAATCCATGTTTATTTTTGTTATCAGGTTCAAAAGGACATCAATAAGAATATCAGTGCCTGAAGTCCTTTTGTCCCCTTCAAAGAATATGGATTGAATGTTGAAAGTTTTGTAATAACAGTCCTTTTGCCTGTGACAGTTTTGGTGCAGTGATCTGGAAAACACTGGTAGAGGCATGTGAAAGAAATGGGAGTAGTTTTGTATAAAACAGTACGTTTTAGTCTTGTAGAAGCAAATAAGCAATAATCAGCTTTTGGGAAGCTGGGCAGCTCAGAGACATGGATTACATAAAAATCAATGTTCAATGACAGTCTTTATAAAATTACATCAAGTTTGTAAGTTAAATACACAACAGCAAAAATGCAAAGCAGAAGCTAAAATTCTACTTATCCCCCATGGAATTTACTATGGATTCTTTCCCTCACACATGCCTAAATACTGAAGAACTTATCATAAATTTTGCTTTTGCATGAAAATATTTTGCTTTCATGGACTTGATTTGTTAAGTGACATAATGTGGGGTTGGGTTTTTTTAGCTTGTTTGTTTGGTTATGGTTTTTTTTTTTTAAATTAAGAAATCCCCATTCTCTATCTGGTTTTGTTTCTCACATTTTCAAAGCCCAAGATGCTTTCAGAAACAGAACTTAGATCTGGAAAAATATGGATGAAATACAGGCTGTCCTGAACTGTAAGACCTCCTCAGAGAGGAACCAAATGATAAATCAGTAATAATTGAAACTAGAATCACATTTTCATCCCAGAGGATCTCTAACTCATTTTCACCTGGATTGAGTCGGACTTTGATTTCAGCACTTTCCAGAAGTCTTTTAAAAGTGGCTTCTGCCTGCAGAGACAGATATTTTAGCATTTTTACAAGTTCTCATCATTAGTCTCCCAGCACACTGCACACTCATTTCCAGAAGACAAAAATAAACAGAAGGTCATGAATTCCCAGCACCTTTGTAGGCAGAGGGGTAATCCACCATGGGCGTATTTTTTTCAAGCAATAATCTAATTATTTAGAATTCTGTACAAGAGTTTTAGTAGACTTCAAATAAAGCTGTGATATGTTTAATATTCGAAGACTGGATATTAACTGGAATAATAATTGTATTTACTTATGCACCTTAGTAAGTGGCAGTTACTTATACTGTTTCCACCACTTGTCAGGAAAACAGAAAAGTTTATTTTGACTTGAACTTAACTCTGCACACTACTGCATATTTTAGAAAACTGTGACTGCCTTGTCTTGTGAACTAGGGCAGTCAGAGCATTTAGTACACAGGAGATGATATTTATACTACTTTTCTGCTAATCTGTTTTCAACACACATGTATCTTCAAACATGCATGGCTTACACTAAAGGATACAGTTGTGGGGGAAAAACCTTTTTAAAATAAAATAAAGGCTTCAGATAAGGTTTTTTTTTTTTTGCAATTGCATCACGTTTCACAGTTTGTTCTTTGCTAGATCTATGCCTAGAAATATACATGTTTTTCAAGAATGTCTACAGCTACAAGGGTAATTGCTACACACATCTCTTGACATTACTTCAGAATTTGTTGTTGAGTGTGAATTTCAGGAGCATCACGTTTTGCAGAAAAGAAAAAAAATCCTTGGAGGGAAAATTCATCAGTTCAGGAATCTGCTATACTGGCATTTGTAAGCAAAGCTTCAGTTAATAGCATGCAGTTGGGAGAGTCAGCAATCCCTTCTTTGCCCTCTTAGCTATCAGTATGAGCTGTGATGAGTTTAGTTAACGAAGTATGTTCCACAGATGCTCATTAGAAACATTCATTCAGGAAACAGTAGGATGTTAGCTAAAATAAGAATTTAAGGTACTTCTTGTTCTGATTAAGTTCATTTGTACCCCCTACACCTCTAGTGTATGATTTCTAGTAGGACTATATTCAAAATGAATACCAGAGTGTTCACTGCTGCAGTGCAAATTCCTTTGCCAAATGCTTATCCCTTCACATTAAACATGCTATGGACAGAGTGGAAAAATGGTTAGCATTGCTCTTCAACACCACAAGAAATAGGCATCACCAGACACAACCCATTAGGTGTTTAAATCTCATGATAGTTCAGTGTTAATGCCTATAACTAGTGTATTACAGAATACACATAATTAAATATTTTAGCTTCTTGGCCTCCACAGTTTTCTCCCCGTTAGGGAAAAGGACAATGTTGTTTCAGCTCAGAAACAGGTTGCTATCACCACCCAGAGGCTGGCTCTATGCAATTGTTATGTGTCCCTTCTTAACTAGATGGGCAGGAAAGTGTTGTTGATCCAAAGAAGGTAGCTTGAGAGGCAATTAGTAGGAAGGGTTACTCCTCGGGAATGAACATAATTTTATCTCTAACAATTTGATTTGGGGGAGTGGGCTTCACAAATTGGGCTGAGGCAGCTGATACCTCTTATTAAGTCTGGCAGTTGCATGCCTCAGGTAGACAGTCATTGCATTGCATTCAGCCACATACTTGGATTGTGAACACCAGTCTAAGGCTGCATGTGATCATTTCTGAGCAGGCACACACTAAAAAATTAATTGTGATTCCATAACAATTTTCAGTTAGATTTGTTCTTTTAAGTCAAAATTAGCCTAGCCATCATAAAGGTAGAAAATAAAAAATACAGTTCTAGGACTATTTTTTAAATGCTGAGATCACCTATGTGTGACCTGACTGGGAATTTGGGTTCTTCAGGGATGTTTGTACAGTGCATTCAATACTACTGAGCATCCAGAAGTGACATCTGATTTCAGGGTCATCATGGTGTCACAGTGTTCACAGTCTCTGCAAGCTTCTCTTTATTTTTCTTTATTTATTTTAAAACTTTTACTGGCGCACTCTTTTGACAGCAAAAGCAGTGTTATTAAAAGTAATCATAAAATTATTACATTTGAGAACAAGTTTGGGTTTTACTGTTTTTTCTCTTTCTTTTTTTTCTTTTTTTTAAGAAAAGTATTTTTTGTTTTCTTGCTTTGTTGGCATGCTGTAGCCTTTAGCTTGCAGTAGGGAACTTTTCATAATATGTCCACTTAGTCCTTCAGATATTTTAGGTTTTGAGGGTATTAACTTCTTTTTTAGAAATAAGTATCTGATTCTTAACTTGAACATTTTTGGAAATTCCATTATGCTACTCAGGGCTGTATGTTATTGAGACACTGATGGGGAGGAGAATGAGATGAATGGCAGTGCAGCACGGGACAGGTAGTTCATACAGCACTGAGCAATGCAAGGGGAAACCCTTTGTGAGCTAATTATATAGTTCTTGGAAACAGAAGCAGTAACTAGCCTTTATGCTGAGAGACTACTAGGGATTTTGAAGATGACCTAAAACTTGTGACAGGCCAAATCTGCCACACCTCAGGTATTTTGTGCCAGGATATAAACTGATTACGTGTAATAAACCTACTGTAGTGGGGAAACAGCCTAGTTCTTCTCATCCCCTTATTCCTTTACCTGTAATGTGATACATTGTTATGTTTCTATTGCACTAATTCAACAGCAAACAGGAAACAGATGCCTAAGTTAATCATGAATATAAACCACATCAGAGAGTTCCTCTTGCTATATGACATTTTTATAATGTGATTGCAAGAAGAATTTCCTGAGAGACCTGTAATTGATAGACCTATTAAAGCACTAAAATAATTTCATAAGGAACAAAATAACATTTGAAGATGGTGTATGTCTTAGCTGACTTGTGCTTTGTAAGATTCTGAAACATTACCACCGAAACGCAGGAAGGGTTTTTGAACATACGCCAAAATAAGCAAAATAAAAGATCCACTACAGGTGATAGAGGTCTTCCAGAAAACAGAATAAACTCTTCCCGCCCCCCCCCTTGGCACAAACAGTATGCCTCATTTTATCACTAGGAAGTTTCTCAAAGCAAGAATGTCTTTCAAAATAAATACTTGAGGCGTACTCTGGCTACGTGTCACGCCCACCTGTAAGTCACAAATACTCTCAGGTGTCGTCGATCTGTCTTTTCTCGGCTTCTCTCCCGCCCTCGGTCGCAGTTAAGCGCTGCCGGGTCCGGAGGTCCCGACATGGCGCCCGCCCGCCCCGGCCCGTCCGCGGCTGCGAGCGGCACTGCCGCCTGCGCTCGCTCGCATCCCAAGCAGCGCCGGGCGCGGGCGGGGCAGAGCGGTGTGGTGTGGTGTGTTGGGTGCGGCCCGGCCCGCCGCGGGGGCAGCCCGCCTTCGCCAGCCTCGAGAGCCGCCGCTGCTTCCCGTCTGTGCCGTCCGAGGGGATTTTGGAGCCTACGAGGCAGTACGGCCCTTCTTGAAGGCCGCGTTGAAATGGGTTTTCCCGGCAGGCTGGCGGTGCTTGCCTAAAACGTGCGGCGGCCGCCGCGGTGCCGTGGCGGAGGCCCGGACCTGGGACCGGCTGCGCGGGGCCCGCTCCCCGCGCCGCCGCTCCCCTCCGACCGCACCCGGCGGCCGCAGCCCGTCCTCGAGGGCCCTGGGCGACTACGAGGAAGTTTTCCGGTCTTCCCTGGAGGAGCCCGAGAAAGTCTGGGGAGCAGCCGCTGAACAGATCCAGTGGTACAAGCCCTGGGTCCGTACTCTGGAGAGAGGCAGCGCGGGGAGCGCCTCCTGGTGAGTACCCGAGTGCTCCTGGGGCCATGCGGGGCCCGGGGCTGGGGCGGCGAAGCTCGGCTGTAACGGGGAGGGAGGGAAGGCTGCCCGCCGAGGGTCTGCGGGTGCGCTGAGCTGGGGGTTCTGTGGTAACTGCAGAACTGCCCCAGCACATGTCTGGGATGGGCGGTGTGTCATCGCTGATGGGGGAGACGGCTGCAGAGTTTGAAGGAGTTTAATGATTACACTTGGTCAAGCTTAATGATTAAAAGCCGCATGAATGGATATGTTGGGGGTGAGGAGTGCATGCACTGTGGCAGGCGTGACACGTGTGTGTGGGTCCGTGTGTGGCTGAATGATTTGGAGGAGTGTGCCTGATGCTCCCCTATCCAACCCTTTTTGGGCCTGGGCTAGGACCAGGCTTCTGTGAGCATGAGAAACCCAGCATCAGGTGGCAGGGGAGGCAGGTGTATGAAAATGCAGGCACTATGGCTTTTAGGGTTCTTTAATCTTAGACACTATCTAAGTCATAGGCCATAATTTAGATGTTGTGGTTAAGGTTAAGGTAATGTTTGTCAAAAGCATGGGTATTGCAATATATATCTCCATGCAGTGAATGGCGAACTGTCCTAAGCAGAATACAATATCTGTCTTCTAAATTACTGGATATGATTTTCAGTACTTTCGCAAAAGTAGTTTACAGTTAAAATTTTGTGTTCACCACCACTGCTTCTTTTTCAGCACACTTACATCATGGTCTTTGATCTTTTCTCAAAAAAAGCTGATATTGGATATAAAAGGCAATGTAGGGTGAGGATCATCTTTAGTACACTGATGTTCTTTGCCCTTTTAATATTTTCCTGGTTTGTTTTTAATTAAAAATACTAATAATTCTAAAATTATAATTAAAAATATTAATTTTCAAAGTTGTGCAAATTAAAAGATACAGATTCAGTAGAACGGAGCTTGGTTTCTTATTGGTGTCTGTCTGACATCATTGGTTGGCACCTCAAGTAGTGAAAATTGTTTATATGTCTTAAGCTGAATTTTAGGCAACACTGAGCCAGAATGGGCTGTGTAACAGTCAGAAGTCCTAAAATGAATAGATAGGGTTCACTGACTTTGATTTGTAGGTTGTGGTACTATTCAGAAAGTGCAGGTCAGATTGCCTGCATAATTAGGGTCTAGAGAAGGGTCTAGAGAACAAGTCATGTGATGAGTGGCTAGAGTTGTTTAGTCTGGAGAAAAGGAGGCCTAGGGGAGACCTTAACCGCTCTTTAAAACTGCCTTAAAGGAGGTCGTAGCCAGGTGGGTTGTGGTCTTCTCCCAAGTAACAAGTGATAGGACAAGAGGGAGTAGCCTCAAGTTGTACCAGGGGAGATTAAGATACTAGAATTAGAAATACTGGATATTAGGAATATTGGCTATTATGAAAAATTTCTTCACTGAAGAAGTTGTCCAGCATTGGAACAGGTTGCGACAAGAAGTGAAGGAATTGCCAAATCTGGAGGTATTTAAAAGATATGTAGACATGGCACTTAGGGACATGGTGTGGTGGACCTGGCAGTGTCTACCATTTGGTTGGACTCAATGATCTTAAAGGTCTTTTCCAACCTTAATGATTCTGTGAATCACTGATTAAAGACCAGTAAAGCTCACTGATTCTGGCACTCCTGAATAGAATAACAAAATCAATAGAATGGCTACTCGTGAAGAACTAGGCAATGAGAATATAATACATGCAAATGAGCATGGTTTTGCTATCAAATTCTGTCAAACAATTGTGGTTTCATTTGCTGACCACAATAAGCTTGCTTGCTGAAAATAACATGCTTAGGTCTTTGTAAAGCATTGTGACTTCTCAGATGGAAGTTACTTGGCCTTATGAGAGGGAAAAGTGGATGTTTCATGGTCTGAAGTCAAATTTATCTTCCAAGGTCTTTTCTATTCTCACTTTTTAACTTGTATCTTTCTCCCTCTGTGGATGCAAATTGCCATAGACTGAAATTATCTCGTTAATGTGGGCAAATACCTGAAGGGAGGGTGCATGGAAGATGGAGCCAGACTCTTTTCAGTGGTGCCCAGTGACCAGACCAGAGGCAATGGGCACAGACTGAAGCACACGTTGTTCCCTCTAAACACCAGGAAACACTTTTTTTAATGTGAGGGTGACTGAGCACTGGCACAGAGTTGATTGTGGGATCTTCCTCCTTGGAGATATTAAAATACCATCTGGACATGGTCCTTCCTGGTCTACTGACTCCAGGTGGACCTTGTAGAAGCCTAGAAGATAAGGGGGCCAATGTGTATGTCTCAAACACCAATAGCCAGATAGCTGTGGAGCCATACAAGGGTTATTGGTAATAACGAACTGTGAGAAAGAACAGGATGTGGTTGGAGAAGGGGGCCATACAGAGGTAGAGCAGCACTTTTCTGGGACAGATGTCCTTGTTCTAATTCCTGGAGCTAAGCAAAACACAGTACAGCTCGAGAAGTGAGCATGGACTATGAGGGGGGGATCAAGGCCACCAAAGATCCCCAAAACCCTCTAACCCACTTTCAGAAAGGTTGAGAAGGACTATGCATGATAACTAATTTTCAAATAAAGCAAGAAACTTATCTATAAAAATGTACCCCCACAAAGCCTGGGTGCACGTGCACCAGAGGACCCTTGACGACCCATCTGCTGGGTTGACACTGGAACCAGGCCTCTTTTCTCTCTTCTTTTCTTTGTCTCTCCCCTTCTTTAATTCATCTGTGTCTTTCTCTTTTACCTTTTGCCCTATCCCTTTATCCAAAATCCACTGTGATGTGCTTATACTAGGAGATAGGGACAAACTTATACCAATTTCTATACGAAGTGTGTAATTTACTGATAAAACTCCATAAGCTTTTGTAGACCCTCTGACTTTTGTCATTCTTTTTGACCACAAGCATCTATGAATCTTAGATGCTGCCTTCCCCTAAGGGTGGAATACCACATACCTGCCTCACTAGGTGCCCTCCAGAGGTCCTTTCCAACCTCAGCCAGTCTGTGATTCTGTAGCATTATACAAAGATGCAGGTCTGAAGACTCAACGCTAGGTTGTAATTGTTTGCATGTCAGGTATCTGTTGCTCTATGGGTAATAAAATTTAGACAATTCAAAGTTATGTAAAACTCTGTAAAGGTCTTAATGTGCAACATGCAGTTTTATTTCTGTTTTTAAGTTCACCTGAAGTGCGAACAGGCTGTATGTGATATTAGTGTTGTACTTTAATGCCTCTGAAGTCTCAGATTGTTACCAGGATTCAGTGTACTCAGCAGGACGACAGACAGGTAAGTTCTTTGAGTATAAGAGAGGGAGAACATAAAAGAGAGTCTTTTGGGGGACAGGCTGAAGTGAAAACAGAGAATGGAGCTCAACTGAGAAAGAGGCCAGGCTTCCAAGCTAAAACATACAGGTTAAAGATAGTTCAGAGGTTTACCTTGGAAGCTGTTTATGGAGACCTCAAAAATAGTATTAAGAAGTCCATGTATGTGCTTCTTGAGTTAGAATTTGTCTCCTGTTTTGGAGACGTATGTGGTCAATTAGGAAATATAATTTTTTTCAATATCTTTGTTTTTGGTTGCCAAACCTGAGACTTAGAGAAACAGATGCTTTTCATATATTTTCCAATGTCATTTACTTCTGTTGAAGAAGTTGAAGGAGGCAGTTACTGTATTTAAAATGTAGCTATAAGGCAAGTCTTCTTCTCTAAATACTCTCTAAGTACTCTAAGTGCGAAAGCAGTGTGCCCTTGTGTTTCTTCTTCAGTCTCTGCCATTGGAAATAGTAGTACTACATCAGTGGGATGCAAAATGATTTCCAAAAGGTACTGAGCAGTGTCACCATCCCTTGACTGTTTTTTTTTTTTTTAAGCAGTAATTCCAGGTACCATTCACTGTTCTAAGCTGCACCAGTGGCTGATACAGGACAAAACAACATCTGGTTTAGCTTAGATCAAAAATAATAAGAGCTAAGAAGCATGATTGGTCAAGAAAAGGATGAAGGAATTGAAATAGTTTGGTTTAAAAGCCAAAAGGGAGACCTAAGTTCTAAAACACACAGAGTTTTGCAAAAAAGTTGAAGGAAAAACTTCCTCGAGTTGTCTTTGAAGAGGTCAAAACTGGAGGTCTTAAATTGCAACATGGGAAACATGGTCTTTACATGTTAGAAAGAAAAATCTTTTTAATGCTTAAGTTAGTGAAACACTTGAACAGATTATTTTGGCATCTTATGGAGTGCCAGTTGAAAAGCCTAAAGCAAGTATTTCTTTAGGACTGTGGAAACAGTTTTTCCTAACATGTGCAGGCAGAGGGCAATTTTGCAACATACGTTTATTTCTGTGATGCCAAGGCATAAGTGTAATATATCATCCCCTTTGAACTTTAGGAAGGTTGCCCAGATTGCTATTCAAATGTTGCTTTACGTTTTAAAAAATGTGACAGGGTCAATTAATATGATAACTCCAATTATTTAATATTGCCATGGTTTTGTCTCATTTCATCTAGAAAAATAAAAAAAAAAAATCCCTTTGATTCCTGGGAACCCAGCTTGAAGAAGTATATATATTCTGTAAAAGAATTTTAGCAATCTGCTTTTTTAAAAAGATTTTTTTAAAAAATATATTAAATATACTTAATAATAATTTTAATGCTTTTTTTCCCGCATATATGCCATCTTTATTCAGAACCTTTTCTTTCTTTCCCTTTTTAAATTTTTTATTAGCTTTACTTCTCAGCCATTGCACAGAGAGTAAAAATTATCTCTGAATACAGCTGCTTTGATTTTTAAGATAGCAGATGGTGTTGGAAATTAAAAGATAACTTTTTAATATTTGAGTGAAATTAATTAAGTCATAATTATGTGTTGCCTTCTTCAATACTGTACTTATTTCATTAATAGCAAGTAGGCTTTTGTCGCATCCAAAAAATACCAAATGCGGTAAAAAAATATTTCCAAGCCATAGATGATAGATGTTAAACCATATGTAATGGGAATCCTGCTATGGAAGACCTAAGTAACTGATGTGCCAAGACTAAAACATGAAGATCAGTGTTTTTGTGTCCTCTTCTACTCCAACTCCTTAAAGATTAATATAAAGTAGTAATTTTAAGGTATGATTTAAGGGTCAAGTGCAAGTACTTGAGATTTCTGTTTGTGAACCAACAGAAATGCTGCCAAGTCTCAGGGCTGGGGCGAGATGGGAGGTGCTGAGCCGCAGTCACAAAGAGGCAGTATGGTGTAAGTGACTGCTGTAGGCAGCTCTAAAAAGGCTCAAGAGTGTCCTAATGTGGGTAACCAGACTCAAATTGTTAAGAAGATGCCTTATTAGGTCTAAGTTAGACATAATGTGGCTGCTGCTTTCATGGATGTATGGGGGGGAAAAAACAACAAAAGGATAGGCAGATATTGTCAGAATATTGGTTTAAAGTGTTGCTGTGAAGCAAACTGTTTTGATGTTATAGCCAATTTTGGATATTATAGCCAAAGTTCTGTGGTTTTTGACTAGGACAACCCTGTCATTTTTTCCACCATAGCTCCAGTGGATGGTAGACAAGCATTTCAGAGACTGCTTGTGATCTGAATGCAGTTTCTTTAATCTGTTAGAGTTGTTACTGTGTACTCTTTTTATTTGTTTTACTCTTCCTCTGCTCCACTTGTTTTATGTTATTAAATTGTCAGCCTTAGGAACACAGTGTACAATAAGGTTCCTCACACTTGGATTCAGTTGGTAAGCTGCATTGAGATAATTGTCTGGTTAGCAATAGATTAGCATTTTACAGTCATGCTTATTATGTCAAGATTTACTGGCAGTTGTTACAAACATCCTGCAGATCCACTTCTGGTCTTTCTGCAGTCTATTGGAATATTTCCTTTCTATTCTAGACCTCTGTTTTAAATAGGAGCATCTCATTGACATCCTCATAACAATGGTCCTGGTTTTATGCTGCTGTTTCTTTTCAACTAAAGCTTATTCAAGCAAACCAAAGTTCCTCACAGGTGTTCATCTGTGTGAGGCTTACTAGAACAGAAGTTTGCAGAAGCACAGGGCAGCTCTTTAAAGCCAAGCAGCTTTTGTCAGCCAGAAAGAGGCATTTGAGAATGTCCTTGGGTGACAGTAAGGAAGCCAAGTTCTTGCAGTTCTGGTAGGTGCATCTCTGCTTTTCTTATCCCATCAGAACCTCTGTCCTTCTGAACAGGGTAGCAAAGTTCTCATCACACTTTCCAGATAGTCTTGTTCTTGATTCATCTTGCAGTCACATCTCTTTCACACACTTGTTTTTAAGTGGTTGCTAAAAATTCATGTGGCAATGTTGATGTTGCTGTATATCTTTAGAAGAATCAAAGCTCTGGTGCCTGCTCATGGTTTGACCATTCTTAAATGATTATGCATAGTAGCCCAGGTATTGTACTCCCTTGTTCCCTTGTTCATATCATCCTACCATGATTTGATATTGTCTCAATTTAAGGAAACTGAAGTGTTTTGCTAAGGAGGATGAGTTATGAGGTAGACCAAACTCCTCTCTCTCGGCAATTGTAAATCCAAAATTAAGAGGCTCCAATTGAGGAACTACAGAAAAAGGAAGAAATAACAACCCTTTATTAAAGGATATATGTGTATTGGCAAGAACAGCAAAAGAACATAAAAACAACTACACAATAATCCTGTACCCAAAAGTCCCCTTCAAAAAGGAAACAGTTTGATACTTCTCCATCCTCTAGCGCGATTCCAATCACGGTTGGCAGGAGCGCTGTTGGATCACTGGAGGTGCAGAGCCTGCAGTTGCTCAGTGTTGGTCAGCAGGGGGTGCTGTTGGGCTCTGGTGGTCGCGGCGTGAGGCCCCAGATTGCAAGAGAAGCCGACAATGGAGATCTCCCCCCCCACCGAGGAGGGGAAAAGGGGAAAGAAAGGCAGTTTCTTTCCCACAAAACTCACGCTGGCTGCGACTGGCTGTGGTCGGGACTCCCCTCTTTCCTTGACGAGCACAAACTCTCCAATGAAAACCGAGCAGGTCTAACTGCTGACAGAGCAGACCACAGGCAAGCCGAGGCCAGAGAACAGACAGATGACCAGGTTGAGAGCAAAAACAGCCTCAGAGCTTTTTTCAACGCACACTGTGCCCCCGTTAAGGCAAAAAGAGAAGTGCCTCTTTCCAAAGAGAGGAGAGGAGAAAGACTCTTACCCCCCAACACCCCCCCCCAGCCTTAGAGAAAGCTATCAACCTGGAATGCAGGTCTGCCAGCATTCTTTTGTATAGTCAATTACCCCTTCCCCCTCCTTGTTCAACATCTTCTTTTACAGCAGGACAGGGGAAAGGAAAATTTCTGCTTGGATTTTTGGAAAAAGTAAACCTATGAGAAATATATTATCAATAATCAGTGGATGACCTGAATCGTACACAACTTTTATGACAGTAGTACAGAGTTTCTCTATGTTACATGAAACAACTCCAGATCATTTATTGCTCATGTGGTTTTCCTTTTATGGGAAGGGGTTTAAAGTACAGAATGGTTTTGTGACTTCCATAGCCCCCCACTTTCTCCTTACTAATAGCATTGTAAAGGAGTTGCAGTAAGATTGCTGCATCCTGAACATCCTAACTGGTTTTGGTTTCATAATTACCATTCTTTGACAATAAAGACCTCCCATGGCATCTCTACATAAGGATATAAGAATAATATGTAAAATATCCTAATTTAGAACAGTCCTTTACTAAACAGGAAAAATGAAGAAGGAAATATTTATTTTTAACTAGTAGTGGGTTACTTGAGGCCATCTGTTACTTCCAGTTGCATTATAACAATACATTATCACCGGACAGTGTTCCCATACAACCTTTTGGAAACTCTCAACTATGTATTTTCTGTATGTTGCTATTTGTCCTGCAGAGAGATACCTGCAGATAGAAAAACAAACACTATGGACATCACCTAGTGAACTTTAATTTTTAGATTCTGTGTCACCTTTCAGTTAGTAGAGTCATCTTTGTATCCAGTACAGTCTGTATTTTTGTATTTGAGGATTATGCTGCACTTGAATTTTCTTTTTCTATATAAAATGGCAATAAAAATGAAATCTGAATTTGTGGAATGTTTTTCTTTAATTGGAAGATGAGAATTTTCTGTACATGTCTGGCTATTGGAGAGGCTATGACTCACATTGCTTTACAGAGAATTTTGAGTCAATTATGTAAAACACAGTGTTGTCAAATGCATTATAATTATATGATCTTATAACTGTTGGGGTCGGTTTCATTTAGCTACAGATGCTTGTATGCTTAACTGTTATTGCCAAGAGATGAATAAGACTATTTTGAGTCCTGAACCTGTTTTCCTTAAAAAGGATATTTGTGTGTGCCAATGCAAAGTAGCATAATGTTTTCATAATGTTGGATTATTTTATGTGAATTTATGCTTTTTCTGTGATACCATAGATATAAAAATCAGAGTGATTGATGCTAAGTATGTTAAACCAAGACCAAGTTTAGCAGATTTTTAGTTAAGTCAATTAAGGTACAGTATTTTAAGTTCTATGTTTTCACTAATAGTCTTATTTGGCTTTTTGAATAAATCTTGAGGTTATAGAATAAAAAATTACTTCCTGAAGTGAGTGTAATGTTTTAAGAGCTATGTTTTAATTGATGCTCTAATTCCTTAAAAGAAAAACGTAAAATAAAAAAAAATAGTTGTCTTAGTTTGGAAGGCTGGCTGTTACATGCTTCCAACTTCTTTTTTAGGTTTGTAGGTGGAGAGCTGAATATCTGTTACAATGCTGTAGATCGTCATGTTGAGAATGGACGAGGAGACCAAGTTGCCATTATTTATGACAGTCCTGTAACAAATACCAAAGAGAAAATAACATATAAGGAACTTTTTGAGCAGGTATGTTTCCAAATAACCTTGTTATCGAAAAGGGGCAGTAAATATTGCACAGCAGGTAGGTACCAGAGAGGTAAAAATGGTCTACCTTGCTGGTTTATTCCTTTTGCTGTGCTCAGTATTTATTTATAAGCTTTACTACCTGTACCAAATTATACTGCACCCAAGAAGTTTTGATCTTCTTCTATTTCCTCTTTTTCTTCTACAGTTTAATAGTTTTTTTCTCCTGATTGGTTAAATTTTCAGCTTGTCTCTATTTGATTTACTTTTTTTCCCCCTAATAGTTCTTATTTGAAAGGTAAAGCAAAGGAGTAGTCAAGTTATTTGACAGTTGCTATGATGAACAAAAACACAGTTTTGCAGAAATCAAATGTGTACCTTGGCTATTGCTGCGCATAAGTGGGTGTAACCACAAATGAAATTTGACAGGGAGAAACTCTAAAAAAAGCTGTGTCACCTGCCCTGTTGTAGGCTGTCATGGCGGTGCTGATGGTTGCTGGTGGCCCTTCTGCCTGGAATGTCTGTGGATTTCGACTTCCCTGTTGGCTGAGGTAGCTCACCCCTGCTGAGGTCTTGAATACCTCGTTCTACCTCAGTCCATTCAGATTTACCATGTGCCTGACCATGGGTTGTTGCCACCGTGGGTGTTGCAGTCTGCCCCATTCAAGGTTCTCCGCTCTCACAGCTGTTGGCTGGTGGTTTGCCCTCCTGCTGCTCCTCTGTTTTAGCTGACTTCTTCCTTCCAGTTACATGTAACAATTGAACTTAACACTGAGTACAAAGAAATGTTCTAGTTAGACTCATATTCATCCTTAATGTGTTTCAATGTGCAAGAAGCATTACGGTGAGCGGAACACACTCAGTTTACTTCAGATAGACATATAGTGTCTGAGTAATATGAACTTAGGGTTTAAAATGTGAAATGAGGTTCGTAATACAGTAATTCATGTTGTGAGGGTTTTATTCCGCTGTTGTAAGAAAAAGGAAGTCATACAGCTACAAAAAAATGATAAACCTGTTACGCATTCTACCTTTTAAGGAAAATATAGAAAACATTTACCCTTTACCGGTTTTCTTTTGATTTACCAAGTCCAAAAAAATAACTTGGAAGGCACCATGCAGGAAGCTGGAGCTTGAACAACTAGTTACAGTGTTGTAAGAAATCAGAAGACTATAAAGGGGCCCAGCTCCTTATCTAATTCTATTTATAGCTATTTATAATAAGTATAATTTTATAGATACAATTTTTGTATAAGTTGACTTTAATAACTACAATATATACATAGTATATACCCAAATATATATGTATATATGAAATCAATGTATACATACATATACATATAAAATACATACTTGTTTTTAATGAAGTAATACAACATTTTAATATAAATTATCTTAAATGAACTCTGTCAAAATTTCCTCTGAAAAGAACTTGAAAAGTGGCCTTTGTTCTGCTTTTTAAGCTTGATATTGTATTAAGTCTCCTAAGTTTCTGTCTCTATATTCTCTATAAGTGTATTAAAAGTTTCAGGATATGGCAGATTTGTGCAGAATGAGAAAATTTTACGTGTTGACATACACATCCTTTCATCCACATTTCTGTTCACAGCAGCATTGCCAAACCAGATGGAAGAACTGGTTTAAGTTTTCTGGGGTTACGCAGCAGTACTCACTCAGAAATTCATTATAATCTTGCTGGTAGCTGACTCCTATCTAAATACTGTATTTGAGTTCTCTACAGTTCGTTTTTCTTAATCAAAAGTGAATATGGGTGAAAGGCAATATTTGAGATTAGTAGCTTGTCTGTCGAAGCTTTCTGGTCCACTCTTATGGAATAAATTTAATTGTGTTTACCTGCTAACTGCTGGACACCTGATAACAAAGGTAACAAAGAGATCTGCTGAAAGTGGGAGGGATGTAGGCTGGTATATTTTTGTTTGTTTGTTTTGTAGCTACTAGGAGAGACTTTGAGAAAAGGCCTACCAAAACCACTGTACAGCGTGGGTATTGATGTTTGGCTCACAGCCCTCAGTCATTGCTTGTCACCATGTTCTCAGTCTGCTCAGTGTAACCTAAAAATATTGTATTTTATCATTCTGAAATAACTTCATGCTGAAATAGATCAGTATGAGTGCAGATCAGATATGTGACTGAAGCTGATGAACCTCCTGATGGGAAAGGAAACCTTTTACCTTTTTTCCTGAGTTCCTTCCCAATTTAAACCAGCCTGAAAGTGTGTATCTGTATTCATGCCATTGTTTGGACTGTTCACATCCAATGAATGTTTAGTTGTCTGTCTGACCAGTAAGCTGATAGTGTGATGAGAATGTCTTTTCAGAAAGGCTGCCTGCAAAATCTCTTTATGAGAAAGATCACTTGAAGTGGTGCAATTCTTTCTGGCTTTTGGTAATAAAAGTGGAGTTTATAGATGTTTTCAGCAGAAGTTATGTAGGATAACTGTGGGTCACAGAATGGGAAGATGCAGAGTTTTGTAGCAAGCTGGTTAATTTGTCCAGGATCAAACTTGTGGTAAGGATGAAAAAAAATGACAGAGGTGTGTAGCTGGACTTAATAAGGCTCCTTAGAAATAGCTTGGGCTCTGTACTCAGCCTGTTATTTTCAAATTATCCACATCTTTTTTACTTGTTGCACTGATTTTTAGATATAAGAGCTACAGTGATGCTGCAATTTTCAAGTTAAGCACCACTAAACTTTAAATAATTGAGAGAAATGTTGAAAGTCTGTTTGATGCCCAGCCTGTGGGAAACTTTTTTTTCCTGACAGACCTGGAATAGAAGGATTGCAGAAAAGTTTTATAAAATTCTTATTGATGTAAATAACGGCAAGATCAATTTGTGTTGATACTGCTTTCACACTTAGAAAGTTTTGAGAATTACAATTAGTTAAAGTGAAGTTGTACATAGTGCATGCAGTTGCATCTTCGGTGTGTTTATATGTTGTTACAGACGAAATCTTCCAAATGCAGAGGAGGAATATGGCAAATTTAGGACACAATGGTCTTCCAGAATGCACTGATTGGTCTTTTTTCTTTACTGATGCCTGTTACAGGCCTTCAAATGTGGATTACAGTGTTGAAGCCAGTAAAATGGAGATGTAGGTAAAAGTTTTGAATATACCTTGGGAGATTCTCTAATTTCAGTAGTGAGATGGCAGAAAAAGATAAGGGAGACACAAATTCCCAACTGTATGAACAAGGGCAAGTGCCGGATTCTGCACCTGGGACGAGGCAATCCTCGTTGTTAGACTGTATAGACTGGGAAATGAGTCACTGGAAAGCAGTGCCGTGGAAAGGGACCTGAGAGTCCTGGTCAATGGCAAGTTGAATATGAGTCAGCAGTGCCCTGGCAGCCAGGAGGGCCTACCGTGTCCTGGGGGGCATCAGGCAAAGCATCACCAGCTGGTTGAGGGAGGGGATTGTCCCGCTCTGCTCTGCTCTGGTCTGCACTCACCTTGAATATTGTGTGCAGTTTTGGGCACTGCAATATTAAAAAGATGTTAAGCTATTAGAGAGTGTCCAAAGGAGGACTCTGAAGATGATGAAGCGCCTTGAGGGGAAGCTGTATGAGGAGCAGCTGAGGTCACTTGGTCTGTTCAGCCTGGAGGAGTCTGAGGGGAGACCTCATTGCAGTCTACAACTTCTTTGTGAGGGGAGGAGAAGGGGCGGGGACCAATCTCTTCACTCTCATTACCAGTAATAGTACCCAAGGAAATGAAGCTGAGTCAGGGGAGGTTAAGGTTGGATATCAGGAAAACATTTTTCACCCAGAAGGTGATTGGGCACTGGAGCAGGCTCCCCAGGCGAGTGGTCACAGCACCAAGCCTGACAGAGTTCAACAGGTGTTTGGACAACACTCTCAGGCACATGGTGTGATTCTTGGGGTGTCCTGTGCAGGGCTAGGAGTTGGACTTAATTATTGTGATGGGTCCCTTACAACTCAGAATATTCTGTGATTCTATGAAATTCTGTTAGAAATATTACTGAAGCTGTGTAGTATTAAGGAAATATAAAGATACTAGAAGGAAGAAAGGAGCAATGGCTTCTGTTCATTTGAAAATAAATTTTCTGATTGTGTTGGAAGATACTACTATTTTCAAGTTAATGCAGAGGTTATTAGGTAGGTGAAAAAAGCCTTCTGTTTACATCATTAGGTGTATTCTCTAAAATGCCTCACTTGCTAAAACGAAAACTCAAGAATTTGAGTTGTATTATTTGCAGCCATTGATGCTTGACAAATCATGTACACAAACCCAGTATGATTTCTCTCTGTGATTCTTTTCAATAACAATGCACAGTTAATGTGTTGCATTCAGTGCCATAATAAATAATTTCTAAGTGCAGTAATGTGACAGGATTAGTAATACCAACCCTCTCCTGCCCAAGCCCCTGAGAGCATTGAATGTTACAGAAGCGTGGATGAGAAGGAAGGGCTTCAGGTTATCAGCAATGGGCTAAGATGTAATTTCTTCTGCAGGAAGGTTTTTTTTCCTAAAATTACCTACCCTAAATAGATCTTCTTCCAAAATAACTATATTAGACTACGTCAGTTTGAATTTATGTGAATGTACATGTCTTTTGCTACTCATATCTCGTATCTGCTATATGACTGAGGAATCACCCAGATCATTTTGTTTTTTGTAATCTTTCTTATTCTTTTTTTTTTACTCCATCTTCTTTCTTTCCCTTCTGCCTTGAAAAATGACTAATTCCTTCTTAACTAGAAATAGAGATTTTCATTTCAGGGTAATTTTTCTCAGACTTGACTTAGAATCAAAACTGGAATACGGTAAAAAAATCCTACTGAGACTGACAACCCAAATTTTTATCTTCTTTGCTAGTAAAACAACAGTATCTTGATAAAACAGTGTATTAGACTCACTTAATGCTGGATATCCTTATCTTACTTAAAACTCAAATGGCATTCTTCAGTGCATGGCTTAGAATGATTTAACTGAGGTGTCACTGGGGTAGCTATTAAAAAATA